AGGGGTGACGGGGGCGGGGGGGTGGTGCCAGCCCCGCTGACACTGGTTTCAGCCTTGAGACCCTGTGCTGAGGACATAATGAAGCCTGGGCAGCTGGCCACAGCGAGATACTGAATGTGTGTTGTTTTAAGCTGATACGTTTGTGTGATTTGTTACCAACAATAGTTAACAGGTACGACCTTCTCACTTAATATCTACAAGGGTGGGCTGACTTAGGCATTGTAACCCTTTTCATAACCAGGACACGGAGGCACGGGGGCTGAGCGGCTTGGTCGAGCAGCACGCCATATTCCATCAAATCCCAGCCTGTGCAGTAGTTTGATGCTCTATTTAGGAAAGCAATAATATTGCCCATCACACTCCCACACATGCCTTTCTTAGTACACCCCCTGTGATGTGCTCCCAGGGTAGAGATGGGGATGTGTCTTGGCATCAGTGAGGCAGGGTAGTGGGTGTGCAGCCTGGGCTTGACTCAGAACGGCAGGCCTCCCAAGAGCCTTTTCTCAGCGTGATACCGTCTTTGTGCCTCCCCCACCTTGTCCCCCAGCCCCACCCTACCACCGAGCCCGCAACCTGGGTGATTAGGGACCACGGGCGGAGATGAGTGTGTCCAGTCTGCATGCTCAGTCGATGTAGATTCACTTACTCATTGTTAATCAGGGGAGGTAAAACCCGCCTCCCCCACCCAACGCCTCCAGGGTCCTAGTGGGTGCGTGGATCATGAGATTATGGTCTCTTTAATAGAATGAAAAGGGAGAATGGAAAGTGGACAGACAGTGTCTTAACCACATTTCGCAGCTGCATTTGTGGATGGTTGTGCTGCATGTGTGATCTTATTTGCCCATGTCAGCAGGGAGTCTGACTCTGACCGCACACGCACCCCCACAGGCACAGACAACACTTCGGGATTTCATTAGGAAGCAAACTGTCTGGCAACAAATTCAACGGAGCAAATCTGGGTTCTCAGCACCTACAGACCTCCCTATTCATGGGGGACCAGGCAGGTGGCACCCCCATAGAACTGCACCAGGGGTCCCCAGTGGCACCCCGAGTCCTCAGCTGTGGAGATGCCCTGTCCCGGTCAAGACGGTTGGTCTAGTGACCATCAGTCTGTCATTTCAGGAAGACCTGCATGTCCCTACCAACAATGTCCTCTGTAAAGGTGGCAGCGAGCCCTGGGGGTTTGGTCAGTGGATAGAGCATTAGCCCAAAGACTGAAGGTCCCAGGTTCGATTCCGGTCAAGGGCACATACCTCAGTTGCAGGCTGGAGCCCTAGCCCTGGTCGGGGTGCATGCAGGAGGCAACCAATCGATGTTTCTCTCTCTCCATCTCTCCCCCTCCCTTCCTCTCTCTCTAAAAATCTATATACAGTGGGGCCTTGACTTACGAGTGTCCCGACTAATGAGTTTTTCGAGATACGAGCTGTCTCTCGGGCGATTTTTTGCTTTGAGTTGCGAGCTAAAATTCGGGTTACGAGCCAGCTTCAGATACACGCCCCCCCCGCCCCCACTAGTTGGCACAGCGAATGTCACAGTGAATGCCACAACATCAGCCCAGCATCACGTGTCTCACTCGTTCACTTTTGATTTGACATATGAGTAATTTGAGTTATGAGCTCCGTCACAGAACGAATTAAATTCATAAGTCAAGGCCCCACTGTATATATAAAGAGGTAATATGCTAATTGGTCCTAACGGTGTCCCAGTCACACCATTCAACAGGCTGTGCATGCACAGGAGCTGGTGGGCGGGGATGGGGATGGGGGCTTGCACCACTGGGACATGAGGCTGCTGCGGGGGATGCCTCCCCCACCCCCCTGGCGGAGGCGTGCGCAGGCCTGCAGTGTCACCCGGCCCGGATGGGGCATCAGGATGGGGCCAGGGCCTCAGTGGAGAGTTCTCAGCACTCCTGCACTGGGGTTTGAAGGCATGGAGAGAAAGGGAGAACAGATGGGCAGTTAGGGGGATCAGGCCAGGAGGGGAGTGCAGATAGGCAGTTAGGGGGATCAGGCCGGCAGGGGACAGCAGTTTGGCAGTTAGGGGGATCAGGCCAGGAGGGGAGAGCAGTTAGGGGCATCAGGTAGGAAGGCAGGTGAGCACTGAGGAGCCAGTGGTTCTGGATTGTGAGAGGGATCCCAGATTGGAGAGGGTGCAGGCCAGGCTGAGGATCCCCCTGCTCCCGTGCATGAATTTCATGCACTGGGCCCCTAGTCAATATAATAATGTCCTTGGATGAGGACTAAAAAATAACTAAAAAAATAACTAAAAAAAACCCCCCAAAACTAAAGGTGGCAGCAGCTGTGTGGTCAGGTCAGGGGTCAATGCTGGTTACCTGAGTGCTGCACACGGAGGAGCACATGGAGCCTGGGGGAGGCAGGTGTCCATGAGGTTTGTCGGGACTGCACATGCCCGTCAATCACAGGGAAGGAATGGGCTACTTGAAATCAGTGTGTCTGCCCAAATTGGGGTGGTGGGCAGGGTTTCCAGAAACCCCTCCACCATGCAGAACCCAGTTGGAAGACAGCAGCCAAGGGCACCTACCAGGAGTGGCAGCGATCCACAGGGCTGCTGGGCAGGACTCTCCTGGCAGGCAGAGCTCAGCGCGGGCATCCCATCTGGCAGGGGAGAGGCTGTCTGTCTGCTCTTCTAGGTGGGGGTGGCACCCAGAGGCCCTGGCATCAGCCTCCTGCAGGACCATGGCCTCCTGGGAGGCGGCCTCCTCTGCGCAGGGCTCACCTGTGAGGGCCTGAGCACATGGGGCCTGTCAACCGCTGGAGGATTTGGCCTTGGGGCAGCTCCTAGGTGTGTGGGCCTGTCTCGTCCACATCCGGAGGGCTTCCAGGCGTCATCTGCTGACCGAGCACCATACACCTGCCCTCTGGCCCTTACATCGCAGTTCCCTTCAGTTTCAGAAACCAAGATTTCGTGGCCTATTCTGCATCCTGTCTCCAGAGAAGGAGGTTGGGGCCTGACCCCTGGGCCAGGTATCACACAAGGCGACAGAAACACTTCCAACAGCCTCGGGGCATAGACCAAGCCCAGAGACCAAAGCCCTGAGCAAGTGGGCAGGAAGTGTGTGTGTGTGTGTGTGTGTGTGAAGGTCAGAGAGGCAAGAGTGGGTGGGGGTGGGGCAGTCCCTTGGCTGTGAGCCCCACACCCCTCCCCAACCCTTCCTGGGGCCTGGAGAAGGTTCCCTCTACTGTGCCCTCGGTCCCCAAGGAAAGGGGGCGCTGAGGGCATCAGGGAGCCACATGCCCCCACTCCTTTCCAGCTTGGCTGTGCCGGGGCTGGGGGCAGGAAGGAAGTCGTCCCAGGCCCTTGAGGCCAAACAAAAGGGAGACTGCACCCCCCAGATTTGCAGCTGGAGCAGGACCAGTGGCCAAGGGCTCTTGGTTGCTGGCTCCCTGCCCCGCTAACCTCAACAGAAGTCTGCCAATCAGCCTGGGCAGGCCCAGCCTTGCCCCAGCTGTGGCCGGGCACTGCCTGGGCCCAGGGGACCCCCAGCATTGGGCTGAAGCTGGGCGTCACTCTGGGTCTTGTGCCCAAGCTGCATGTGCCCAGTGGGTGAAGGGCACAGCCACTGGTCCTGAGAGTGACCCTGAGAGGGGAGATCATCAGCCCTTCCAGGTGGTGGGGGCTGGAGCCTCACGGAGGGTCCCCAGACCAAGGTCACAAACCTAAGGAGTAGAGTGACCACGTGTCCTGGCTTCTGGGTGGGCCCTGCGGATGCCACACTGCTGCTGGATTATTAACGGCAGCCTCTTCCACTGCAGGGCTCTCCTAGTTTGGGCAATAAAGCCTGTGACCCCCGCTAATAACACAGAGGTCCAGACACGTCCAACTCCTGGGCAGATGCCAGTCCTCCGTCTGCCTTCCTGAGTGACAGGGCTCTGCCTTACTTCTGGGACCAGCACCCACCCTGAACCCTCCATGCCCCTCACTCCACTGCCCTGCACCCCACACAGCCACGCTGCCAGCTCAGCCTTTCAGAGAGCCTAGTCCTTGGAGGGTGTGACGCTTCTGGATCCTGCCCCTGGCCCGAGGCTCCCAGGCGGGTGGGGCAGGAGAGCCCACTCACCTGCAGGCTGTCCGGGGCCACTGGGACTGGGGACAGGCTCGGGGGGTGACTGCAACACCCCGTGGAGTCGTCAGAGTCGGCCTCGAAGTCCAGGCTGTGAATGGGGAGGAGGCGCTTTTTCTTGGCGGGCACAGGCTGGGCAAGAGGAGAGTCCGGGTCAGTGGACAGGGAGGACCAGACGCCCCTCACCCTGGACGTGGGGTGGGCCCTCGAAACCAACCAGATGAGCCCCAGCTCGGAAGCCACACCCAGAGCCCACCCACCCCTCACAGGGTCTGCATGCCCAGCACCCCTTACAGAGACGAGCAGAAGCTGCGGATGGACATGCGGCTGCTCACACATGCCCAGGATACAGGCCCTGGAAGGTGGCAGCCTTGCGGGCAGGTAGGCTTCGGGTTCCCCACCCTTGGGGTTTTAGGCCAAAGAGGGGAGCCCGCTGGGGAGGCAGGCGGGGGAGAGAGAACTTGTGCCATTAGATGC